CATGCTATTGTGTCATGCAAGGTCATTGCATAATCTAGAGAAATGTTTAAAATAGGTCAGAAAGGGTTTGGTTCAGACACAATTTGTCAAGGATTGGTGTCCTATTGCATCACATGCAGTTTTGTAAAGTAATGATAAGAGGTTAAAAGTTATGTTTAGACACACATGATGTGGAAAGGATTTTTTTTAAAAGAATGGAGTACATCTCGAAATCTAAATTAATGGATTATAGTACACTGAAAGAAATAATTATTGTAAAATTGTTAACTTTTAGTAATGTTCAACTTAATTTGTTTGTTTATATTCAGCACAAATAAATTGTTTGCAGCGACTTACCTTAAAATATTGTAGTAAATCCAATTATTCATATTTGGATAATTTTTCAGTGTGTTTAAGCAAGAAAAATATGCTTTGCTTCACTTGCATTCTTTTAGACAAGTAGAAGAACATATCCAACATATATCCAAAAAATAAGAGAATATCCAAGTGTTTGTCATATTATGTTTTATCTGCTTTTTTAAATCCTCATTGATCCAAATCTCTATTTCAGTACCACAGTATTATGTTTTACAAAATGGATGCTCTTCCGCTGCAACCCAGTACAGAGAAACATCTATACACACTCATTCACACACATACACTACAGCCAATTTAGTTATTCCCCTATATAACGCACCTGGAGGAAATTCACACTCTGAAAAATAACTCAAGAGGTCTGTTACTACTGCATAGTTTAATACATTATTGTAACCTAAAAATTCTAAAATGCTGATTAGATTAAAACCAGAATTGCCAGAATATTTGTTTTTTTTAAGTTTTCAAAACAGGAAAATATTGATAATTACATCAATTTAAAAATGCTGCTAATTTAAATATATCTGTCAGTTGCTTTAAAACAATATATAACTTGTAGCAACCCAAAGAATTTGGGTTGATAACTCACACTAATGAAGTTGTTTTGTATTTTTAAGTCCACACACTAATGTTTTTTGTTATTTTTTACACTGATAATATGGGACAATACATGTTTTTGTTTTGTAAAACAACGAAAAACTGTGGATTAATACAAAAAAAAAACTACCAAAAAAAAACAAAAATGTTGTTGTTAAATGTATTTCTTACAAGCATGAACAGGAAATTTGAAAACAAACAAAAAATTTAACAATTTCGACCACTTAATTTATTTGGGGCACTGGATTTGTTTTCAATTTTAAAATAAAAAACTAATTGAACAACATTTTTGAGTACTCAACTTATAGATTTAAGGTTTTTGCTTTGTAAAAATGCCTTGAAGAGAAAAATGTTTTAGCTAACATAATAAAGTTTGTTGTCTGAACTTCATTTTGTTGGATGTTGTCTTAACTTCAATATATTAATGCTAACTGTTGCGTTAATTTTTAATTTTTTTTTGTCAAAATATTTTTTAGACTGCATGGCAACATGGGGAGAACATGCAACTGGCCCAGCTGGGACTTGAACCAGCAACCTTCCTGCTGTGAGGCGACAGTACTAACCCCTGATATCTATAATTATATCTGTAAAAACCTTTATTCTGAAAATATATGCAAATTAGAGCATATTTATTTAGATAATACCTGATTTGCATATTTAATGTTTCAGAAACTGTGTTAATTTACTGTGATTAATTGTATGTAAAGCATATGTTCATCCCGTCTGTTAATTCATAATGGTACTTTAACAAATAAACCCAGTTTAACATTAACAACAGAACCTGTCATGGAAATCATACATTTATATTCTTACACAAGACCTCACTTGGGGATGACATGCCCCAGCTGTTGAACAATGATGAAGATTATGGGGATGATGATGGTAGCTTTATGCATATCAGCCTGGGAACATGCTGTCCCTGTTCTCTGCTTCATTACAGATTCATTTTTCATGCATGATGATGAGGGCTCACCATTTATTCACATACTGTATACACTACAAGATGAGTCCTTTTATTTTCCTTTTTACTCAAGTATTGTCTTTCTAGCTGTCAACATTGGGTTTTGATTGTTCAGCTTTTCAGGGCTTTTGTTATCTCCGAGCTCCACGTAGTGCTCTGGAAAGTCTAAAATGATAAGCATTTTACGCTGGCGGTTCATCCGAAGTGACTTACAGTACTCTTATATCATGGAAAATCTCCCCTGCAGCAACCAGGGTGTAAGCGCCTTTTCATTTGCACTGTCTGAAATTGCCCCTTGCAGGGTTTAAACATGCAGTGCTTTTGATCACAAACTTCGAATTTTTTGAAATTTTTTTCCGAGTTTTTGAATTATGGCGATTGCCAGTCACGTCAAAAAAAGTACTGTGCATGTCAGTCAGAAAACACGATGGATGCAATAGACTAGTTTAAAGCCATTGAAGAATCCAATTTCTCCTGTGGGTTTTATGTTGTTTTACATTTTCATGAGTAAAATACACCACTCACTGGCCACTTTATTAGGTACACCCATTCAACTACTTATTAACGCAAATTTCTAATCAGCCAATCACATGACAGCAACTCAATGCATTTAGGCATGTACACATGGTCAAGACGATCTGCTGCAGTTCAAACAGAGCATCAGAATGGGAAAGAAAGTTTATTTGAGTGACTTTGAATGTGGCATGGTTGATGGTGCCCGATGGGCTGGTCTGAGTATTTCAGAAACTGCTGATCTACTGGGATTTTCATGCACAACTATCTCTAGTAGGTTTTAAAGATGATGCAAAAAGAGAGAATATCCAGTGAGCGACAGTTCTGTGGGCGCAAAATACCTTGTTGATGCCAGAGGTCGGAGGAGAATGGCCAGACTGGTTCCAGCTGATAGAAAGGCAACAGTAACTCAAATAATCACTCGTTACAATCAAGGTATGCAGAATAGCATCTCTGAATGCAGAACATGTCGAACCTTGAGGCGAATGGGCTTCAGCAGCAAAAGAGCACACTGGGTGGCACTACTGTCAGCAAAGAACAGGAAACTGAGGCTACAATTCGCACCGGCTCAGCAAAATTGCACAACAGAAGATTGAAAAAAACATTGCCTGGTCTGATGAGTCTCGATTTCTGCTGTGGTGGAACAGGAGATTCACATCATTGATGTCCAGCTGACAAATCTGCAGCAACTGCGCGATGCTATCATGTCAATATTGACCAAAATCTCTGAGGAATATTTCCAGTACCTTGTTAAATCTATGCCTCAAAAGATTAAGGCAGTTGTGAAGGCAAAAAGGGGGTCCAACCCAGTGCTATTAAGGTGTACCTAATAAAGTGGCCGCTGAGTGTATATGCATTGTAAAATTCCACAGATTACATAAGGAGTAGATAAAAAATCCTATAAGTGCCTTTAAGTGAAATTTTCCTCTGCAGTTAGCATTTTTCTGTCTTTGTGTAGGTTCCGTAATTTTACATTTATGGCAACAAATGGATTATTTTCAATGCGTTTAAAGTGAAATAACTGAACATAAACTAAGAAGATGTTTCAATGAAACATTTCAAACTGCACTTACAGGCTTTTGCATCTCAACTCTTTATTTGGTTCTCTTATTAAGCAGTTGGTCCAACTTGACTCCAACTTAAAAAAATAAATAAATAAAACGTTGCTGTTTATTACTTCAGTCAACATTCAGGCTATTTATAGCTTTAAAATAACTCTTCATCTAACATTTCTAAAAATATATACTTGCACACTGCAGCATTTATGTGTCATTTAATTGGTTAAAGGAAGGAGAAACTCACAAAATGAACCAATCACACAAAAGCAATATTTTTTTGCCATGCAGAAACACTTCACAAACACTTGCTTCCGATCTACAAATGCGTCTATCACTTACTGTTTGAGATCTCACAGTTTGAAGTGTCTGTCATAGCAAAGTGACATGTGCTGCCATGAGTAATTAGTCTTCTAATAGGATAAGGACACTGTCTCATGAATAATTATGATACATTAACATGGCACCAATTACTGTGGTGTCACAACCAGCGATGTCAACACAATGCAGATTCTAACAAAGCACAAAAAAGCACAATTATGTAAAACAAAAGCAAACACCTCTTTAAAATTAAAGAAATGACCCTTTAACATCAAATTTTGTGCTTATACGATGTAATTTCAATTGTTTTGTTTTCAAAATTCAAGATTTATGGCCGATCGCCTTACATACTTGGGAACTTAAACTTGGCCTTAAGCAAGTGTATCTGTCTGCGGATTGCAAGATGGGGGCATAACATGAAGGAGCATAACTTGTAGTTGTTTAGAGGTGTAACATGCAGTTATTGAGATACCATTGAACCATGTGAGATGTAACAACGAAATGTTGTTGGCAAGATGGCGGAAATATTTACCAGAGAACATTTTCATCAAGTGTTTTCTACAAATTTATCCACAACCAATTAACTTGATATATTATATTATATTATATTATATTATATTATATTATATTATAATATATTATATTATATTATATTATATTATATTATATTATATTCAAAATTTAGCAACTCCACAATGCGACTCGTAAACTTCTTCATCCATTTGGTCTTCATAACCAATATCAATATGATATTGGTTTAATATGTTGGCATGGATTTTGATCACTTTCCAACACAACCTAAAATCAACTAAATATCAACGTCATTGGGGTCGTTATTGGATGTCAAAATTATGTCCTTAGATGCTAACTAGACATTCAATTTTGGTCACCTGAAGTCACGACCTAAATCTAACCTAATTTTAACATCTTATGATGACACTAATACTAATTAGATTATATGGTCATATTTGCTTTACTACAAGATGGAATTAATTCAATAAGTGAACTTATATTCTTATACAGCTAATAATATTACTTTTTAATTGTGAACATTTTATAAAGGAAATTAAACATATACTACACTATGTAACATTAAAAAAGAAAAGCTTAAAAAAATTTGATTAAGTAAATGTTATTTTTTTATTATTATCTTACCTATTTATTTGTTTTAGGCATCTGTTTATTCATTGATTGTATAACTAATATAATTTCACTCATTTTTAATTTTTTTTTTTATTCATAATTGTTGTGAGATGTATATTGCTGGAGTAACTTTGTATATATTTACAATTAAAATGACGTTGTGTGCCTGCTGAGAAACAGAAAGAAATTTTAACCGGTTTAAAAACTCGAGTTCAAGTTGAGTTCAAATTCAACTAGGCTATCATAGCTAAGTTGTTATTAGGCAAGTACAGGCTCTTTACACATACTTTATATTACTTATTAAGATAAACACGTTTTTTTGCTATTTGTTTACAAACCCATCTCTGATTATGCCAGCTGTCATGATCATGATGCTGCATAAAGAGTAGTTTAGTATTTTCTTGTGTGTTTATTCGAGTATTTATTAGTGACATTAGTCAAATTCAGTCATTTCATTGCATCTTCCCCCTTTGCAATCATTATTTCTAAGATACGCCAACATACAACCCTCAGAAAAAACAGTAGCCTAGTCATGTAATTCAAGTTATGCAACAAAGCGAAAACTAATAAAAAATAAATAGGCTAAACAAAAAAGGAAAAGAAAAAAAAAAACAACAGCGCTATTCCTGAGAACTGAAGTGGGAGAGAGATAGCCCACAGATCCTAGAAAGCAAACATTTAAAAACAGACTTGCGCTTCCACCGAAATAGAAGCAAGAAAAACATCTTAATGTAGGTGGAGCCGAGACCTTCCGCTTGCCTTTGATGAGAAAGTTACGCGTTTAACCTACTAGAGTGCGCAATTCTCCCCGCAAGAAGAACACAACTGTCACTTCTATCAAGTCAAGCGCGTACAGTCTCTCCAGCCAAACCACAGCGATTGTCCTCCCTCTTTATTGAAGTTTTTCTCGGTTGCATCCGTACGACTTTTTTTCTTTTCTCTCTTTTGGAAAGCTGGAAAACACCCCGGATCCGCGCTCGCTTCAGCATGCGTTTGGCGCACGGAGCGCACTCTTGGCGAGCTCTTCATCATCACCATCATCACCACCATCATCAGGCGCAGGGATGATGTTCAACTCCTCGCTTGATTTCTTCTCGTTCACTCACCCCGAGGTCGCGTCGGAAGTTCTCAATGGTTCCTCACACTTCTTCTACAACATCTCGATGGCCATGTGGAACAAATCCTGCGGGGAGCAGCTGCTGGACTTCACCGCGGCGGAGAAGATCGTCATCGGCTTGATGCTGGCCATCATCACCACCGTGACGGTGATTGGGAATATGCTGGTGGTTATCGCCGTGTGCGTGGTCAAGAAGCTCCGACAGCCCTCCAACTATCTGCTTGTGTCCCTGGCCGTGGCCGATCTCTCCGTGGCCATCGTGGTGATGCCGTTTGTGATCGTGACCGACCTGACCGGGGGAAAGTGGCTGTTTGGAGAGGTCTTCTGCAATATCTTCATCGGCATGGATGTGATGTGCTGCACCGCGTCCATCATGACGCTGTGCGTGATCAGTGTGGACAGGTGAGTGCAGCTTGGCTTCTTCTTTTCATCGTTGTTTTGGTGATGTGCTTAAATATGAAGTGACTTTGGAAAATCTTCGTGGAGTTAATAAAGTATATTGGGCACAGTTTAAGAAGCAAATGACTACTTAATGCATTTCTTTAAATGTACATATGTCTGAGACCACTGGTGAGTTTTTAATTCATTGATTGATTCGTTTCAATGGCTACATCCAGTTACAGTGAGCTAAACTGTATCCCAGAAGAGTAAACCCCCTGCTGAATTTCTAATTATTTGTATTTGTATTATTTAATTTACTGTTCAGTACATGAATTTAAGATCAAATGTGCCCAAAAGTCTGGTTGTTTTTATGTATTTCCTATTTTATTTGTATTTGTATTATTTAATTTACTGTTCAGTACATTAATTTAAGATCAAATGTGCCCAAATGTCTGGATCACTGTCCTTCTTGGTTGCTTTTTATGTATTTCCTATTTTATTTTATTTATTTTTCTACTTTTTTGTTTATATATTTCAATATATTCCTACAATTTATCCTGAAGTGCAAGACTGCAAGTAATTTTTTTTTTCATTTTATTAAAAATTCATTCGTTCATTCATTCATTCATTCATTCATTCATTCATTCATTCATTCATTCATTCATTCATTCATTCATTCATTCATTTATTTATTTATTTATTTATTTATTTATTCATGTTTGTACATTAATTTGAACTAAAGCACATTCAAAATAATCACAAATTAGTGGTTAACTAATTAATTAATTTCAATAAATCAGTTTAAGGTAAAATATGTCCGAGACAACAAGCGAAATTAATATTTATTTTTATATTTTTGTATTTATTTTAGTACATCCATTTATACTAAAATGTAGCCTAAAATGATGTAATGTATTTCTTTATTTCTAAATGTATTTAATACATCAATTTAACATAAACACATTAAAAATCTGAGACCACTAATGAATTTTTATTATGTTAAATAATTTATTTCAACATTTGTAGCATTTATAGCACGTTCAACATGATTTTGGGGATTTAGAGAACATCTTGTGCTTTTTTGGAAATCAGAATGTGGTCTAAGACTTTTGGACCCCACTTTATATACATAAAAGACTGTACAGACCAGTGATGATGCTTCTACATTTTTTGTTTATATATTTCAATATATTACCAGAAGTCCAAGACTGCAAGTAAATTTCTTTCTTCTTACACTTAAAAATGTATTTATTTATTCCTGTGCATCAATTTGAACTAAAACATATTTAAAATGATCTCAAATTATTAGTTTATTAATTAATTAATTTCTAAAACATCAATTTAAGGTGAAATATATCTGAATTTCTTTCTTCTTTCACTTAAAAATGTATTTATTTATTATTGTGCATCACTAAAACGCATCCAGAATGATTACAAATTAATTTCAATAAATTAAAAGTAAAATATGTCTGAGACAACACTCAAAATTAATATTTATTTTTAATATTTTTAATTATTTCAATATATTCCTACAATTTATCCAGAAGTCCAAGACTACAAAGTAAATTAATTTTTTTCTTTTACTTTAAAATTAATTAATTAATGTACATTAATTTTAACAAAAAATATTTTAAATAATCACAAATCAATAGTTAATTTATTCATTAATTCAAAACATCAATTTAAGGTAAATATGTCTGAGTCATGATTTTTGGGTTTCAGAGAACATCTTGTGCTTTTTTTTGGAAATCTCAGAATGTGCTCTAAAAGACTGTACAGGCCAGTAATGATGCTTTTACTGGTATTAAAATCTGCACTATTTTAAACAAAGTCATTCTTTTTAAATGATTTTTTAAATGAAAAAGAGTATTTCCAATAAATTACCTTTATAATAGTTCTATCCAATAATTAGAAAAGTGCCATATAAAGCTTCAGGGCGCTGCTGTCACTCAGCATCGTGTCACGTCATCTCTCCATCTAATCATAAATGTTCCACGCTGTTGCTCATTTAATACCACTCCTCAGTGAAATACACATCATTCAGTACTAAACTGCACTGGCAACTTCCTTCACTCGAATGTCAAGGCGGCTCTCCGGACGTGTCCATCGCACGGCTGAAATTAAGACTGACAATCTGAGTCCATGCTGGACATCATTCCTCCAGACCGAGAATAGGGTCAATACACCTGCAGCCAGTCTGCCATGCTGACAGAGCCTGATTCACTGTGACACGTCTGAGGAGCTTGTGTCCTTTAAGTCCAGGAGGATTATGTTGCAAAAGAAAAAAACGGAGTACTATGTGTAATACATTGACTTCGCTGCTTTCACTTTCACATATGGCTGTAGTAAATTGTTATGGGATTGAATAGTACTGTCACGATTAACAGCAATCTAACCTTCATAGATCGCAGGACAGAACATTCACATTTACACGGACTACAATCTTGTCATGCAACACACACACACCTGCTCCAAGTCTCCATTAATTACACTCCCACAGCTGATGCTGCTCATGGACTGATTACACTTTATATAAATACGGCTCACTTTGAGACACTCATTGACACTCATAGTCTTGTTTACGATGTGTTTTCCTTGCCTTACTGTGTTTTTGACCCTCGCCTTGTTTTGTTTGTTTACATTGCCTGCTGCCTGCCTGTGCTGACCACGACTCTGGATTTCCTGTATACATCTGTTTTCCCCTGTGTTGACCATTGCTTGCCTGATCATGAGGGGGGTTGGGGTGTTGATGGTTGGTACGGTGGATGGTGGAGCTGTGTCATGGGCAAAAGTGAAGAGGGTTGGGGAGTCGGGAGGAGTCAGGAGGGTTGTGGAGTCGGGAGTTGGGAAAGTAAAAGTGAACAGCTGGATGGAGGAGGAGGGCAGTTGAGGAGGGGGATCAGTAAAATGAGGTGCCGGATTAGATTTCAGAGGTGCCGGATCCGGCATGTTCTGGCACAAATTAAGCCCTGCTCTCAACACTTGGATGTGAAAATAAGGGATATGCTCATTATAATAAGGTATATCATCATGATATGATAGACAGTCAGGCAGTCAAGCACCGCTACATATATGACTGTTTTGAAGACTGCATAGGAGGGACGACTGCACCTGTAATGAAAAGGAAAGGGAATCCTGCCATTTTTAAATATTTATTTCAGTGTTTTCATGCCTAAATAAAGCTAAAGCACAGAACAGACTCACATTTAAGAGCAAGGGCTGCCCCTGGTGATTCGGTGGTAAGGGTTGTGTATAGGGAAGAGCAGCTCAGTAATGTTTATAGCCACCCTTCAGAGAAAGACTGAAAATAAAGGAGAAAAACGGGAAAATACCCATAGGGCATGATAACAGGATAGAACGGTAAAATACGGGAGAATCCCAGGAAAAACGGGAGGGATGACAGTTGTTTGGATCCCTCTGTTGTCAGCATCCCAGTCACTTTACAAGTACATCTGCTCAGCCATTGTTCTATTGGCCTAGTTCTGCTATGTGGAAGTGAGCTCTTTTCTGCGATTGTTTAGAACTTCCGATTCATTTGTCTAAGGGGGAAATGACTAGGAGTTAGAAACATCAGAAGACTTGCTCGACAAACAATTGTGTTCATGACAGTACAGCGAGTGTTTAGTGTCGAGTCCTGTGAAGGAGGTCCAGATGGAAACTTTTGATTTGTGTTTATCTTATGATTGTTGCACGTCCGCCGGTTCCAGCCTCTGAATGAACAAGTTTTAGCTATTTGTATATTAAGGTATTAAAAAAAAATAAACACCGGTAAAGAAAATTGACACAGAGAAACATAAAAACCTCACTTCCAGCAAGCATTTCAGAAGTGCTATGTCAGAGCAACACAAACAGCACGCAGAAATATAAATGCACGGCAACACCCAAGGCAGGTGCCGTTGGTCACGCCGATCGCTCGACGCAAAAGTATAAACCAGCCGTAAGGTCAACAGTGTGTGATGTCAAAACAGAATGTCAGATTAACCACTAAATTTAAAGACACAGTATATAATTTTCGCCACTAGAGGGCACATATTCATAACAAAAGGTGTAGTTTGATGATGCTTTCACCGAGGGCTTTATTTCAATGATCTAAGCATGATGTCTAAATTGGATGGTGCAAAATATGAAAGTGAGTCTGTGTGCTGGTGCATGTGTAACAGAGGCCAGCTAGTAAAATGCTGTGGAGGTAAAATTCACTCTAGCGACAGATGCTAGAGGCCATGGTCTTTAGCATCCTTGTTAGAGCAACCGACTTCCATGTTTGATCCCAGCTTGGAACGAGTTGGGTGGTGTACCACTGGCAGGGTTACATTGGTGACGTGACCCGAATGGGAGTGAGATTTATTGGAGTGAGTGTAATAGAGACCAACTAGTAAAACGATGTGCAGGTAAACCTCATACTTTTTCTTAGTGACCGATGCTAGAGGCCATGGTCATTAGCCTCCTTGTTACAGCAATCAACTGCCACGTGGGGAGTTGCCGGTCTGATCCCAGCTCGGAGCAGGTTGGGTGGTGTATGACCGGTAGGATTACATTGGTGCCGTGACCTGGACAGGAGTGACGTTTAGTGGAATGATCTTAACAGAGGCCAGCTAGTTAAATGCTGTGTAGGTAAAGCTCATTTCTCTAAACCCGAAAAGGTGCTTTAGCGACTAATTTTAGAGGCCATGTTCTTTAGCCTCCTTGTTAGAGCAACCGACTCCCCTGTGGAGAGGCACCGGTGCGATCTCAGCTTGGAGCAGGTTGGGTGGTGTAGGACTGGCAGGGTCAAAAATGGTCTAAAAGGGTCGTGCTTATTCTCTTAATGAGTTATGGGTGTGTTTTTAGCATAATGTGCATTAAACCAATCAGAGTTTCATCTTCTATTTTGTTAATTAAAACATAATCTTTAGTGTTTTGGTGTTTAAAAAACAATCTGGAAATTAAGGGTTATGATGTCATTATTATGGCAATGCAATATATGGTTTGTGTGACTTGTTAAAATCGCATATTTTTTTGAATTTGTACATTCTTTGAAACAT